GCAATCTTCATCTCTGCATGACGGATAGGTTTAGCTAATCCCAACTTGGAGGACCTTAAACATGTGACTGCTTGAGGTCATACAGATTTGTATTGGAGGAAAACGGACAACGGGTAAAAAATAAAAAGAACTAAAGCGTTTCTGAAAGTTGGAGCTTTTTTTTTTTTTTTTTTTGAAAGTTTATGAGTTATTCTTCTTTTAAAAAGTCACTTCAGTAGAAATCTATTCATATTGCCTGCATTGGTCGAAAGGGATATTGATTTTATTTAAGGAAATATTGATTTTATTAAACACCAGTGAACCTACAAGCACTCATAAAACCCAAACCTCAATAGTAGATATAATTTCCCTTTAGAGTTTATTTAGCTCAGGTATAAATCCGACACTGTATGGATATACATTTCAATGTGCGTATATACATATGTACGTATATGTATACATGTGTGTGTGTGTGTAAAGGGAAAGATGAAGCGAGGGAGTTCAGGGGGTGAAAATGAATATGTACATGTATATAAAAGAGATAAAAAAAATAAAAAGAAAATGGTTGTGACAAGATTACCTTAAAAAAGAAGAAAAATAAACTTTTCCTTTCGATCTTTCTAGAAAGCAAGAGTTCAAAAGACAATATCAGATTCCATTTTTGTACTGAGCCAGTGATGGTAAGCCGCTATATTTATATTAGAATGCCGAATCTGCGGATCTTGGCAATGGTAATCTGTACCGCAGCCAGATCCAAGGAACATATAAAAGAGGATAAGTTCTCTTTGTTGCCCAGTGGGAAACGGGAGGCGGAGTGCTCGTGGCGGCGATCCTGAAGGGGAAGTAAGCCTTCAGCGATCTTAGCACACGTGGTGCTTGGTTCCGAACGTGGCCGTGTGTTGCGTTGAACGATTCATACTGATATACAAGATTCAAGTGGTGTATTATGCCTATGTGAAATGCGTGACTATGTATATGTGGGTCTCAAGAAGAGCACACAAATGTAGATGTATATACATAAAAACAAGCGAGTGCGTGTGTATGCGCACGTATGTTTGTTTCTCTGTGCGTGTGTCTATGTGTTTGCGTGCGTGCTTGAGTGTGAACAAGTGTGTGTGTATATGTGTGTGTGTGTTTGTGTGTGTGTGTGTGTGTGTGTGTGTGTGTGTGTGTGTGTGTAGAGAGAGAGAATATTGATATATGTTTTTATACATATATACACGCATGTGTGCACGTACATACACACACATATATATGAGTGTGTGTGTGTGTTTATGTGTAGGATCCTTCATTTACAAAATACATTGGATCTCATTTTTATTCTAAGCTAGTGATGGTAAGGTGCAATATAAATATTCTGCTAGAATTGCGGATTTTGTCCATCGTAATCTGTAGCGTAACTAAATCCAAGAGGATAAGGGTTTCGTCTCCTCCAGCGGGAAGCGCAGAGTGCTCACAGTGTTAAAGTGATTAGAAAGTGTCTAAAAACATTGCAATACTAGTGACAGCAGTGTCTATCCACAACGCGAATCCGATTTAATATTTCCTTAAATAAAGAAAAGCAAAATAAGTTAAAAGCTTCATTTCGATATGTAATAACGTAAACTGAAATCAGTACTTTACAGTGATTATGTTAAATTTCCTAGGTAATGCTAAGTGAAAACTACAAACCAGAATATGTACAATACCAGTTCATGCTAGAAATACATGATAATACGAACTCGTATAACGTAAAAATATAGGTAGAAGTGGTCACACTGTGTATTTCTGCGTAACTGTCGGTATACGGGCATGTGAGTACTGGATAAAGTTATTAGACATAGGTTCACAAACAGTTTTATATCAGGGATCATATCCTCGAGTTTGAATGAAAAATCTCATACTTTATTTATTTTCTCAGGTATTACATCAGTCTTTTGAGTCTGCAATTGCACCACCACCATGCCCGGTCACGTCAAGAAGAGCACGGGTCCCGACCCCGACCCCTCTGAATACCTCTTCATCTCTCGGGAGCAAAGGATAAAGGATCAGGCGAAGCCTTATGATCCCAAGAAGTCCTACTGGTGTCCTGATCCCGATGAGGGCTTCGTCGAGTGTGAGCTTCAAGGTGCCAAGGGTGACAAGTTGGTTACAGTTAAGCTTCCCAGCGGCGAGACGAAGGACTTCAAGAAGGAGCAGGTCGGACAGGTCAACCCTCCCAAGTACGAGAAGTGTGAGGATGTGTCCAACCTGACCTTCCTCAACGATCCCTCCGTCTTCTACGTCCTCAAGTCCCGTTACCAGGCCAAGCTTATCTACACCTACTCTGGTCTCTTCTGTATCGCCGTCAACCCCTACAAGCGTTACCCCATCTACACCAACCGTGCCGTCAAGATCTATATCGGCAAGAGGCGTAATGAGGTGCCCCCTCATCTCTTCGCCATCTGCGACGGTGCCTACCAGAACATGACCCAGGGTATGCATCTGACCAATTTACCTTTTAGGAATTAAACTTCACATGCGATTCGGTATCTGGAGAGAC